TATTCAACAGCAATTTTCCAACTGTCTTAAATATAGAGAGAAACAGACAGATCAGACAGGAGCCAATCTCTTTCATGCACATCCATTTAACAAAGCAAGAATTCAATACTGACCTGCAAAGCCAACACAGCTATAAGAATGATCGTCCTATCAGCCCTCACAAGAAAAAGACAAAACCTGGCTTTGGACCTTGGGACAGTGATCCCAGTGATAGTTATTTGGTGTATTATTTAAAATAGTTTAAAGTAATGATGCATGTATGAATAACACTAAGCATTTGTTCTGCCAAAAAAAAAGACAAAAGGGAGAGAAAATGTCAATGAAGTAATATAAGGCTGAACAAATGAGATGGAATTAACATTCGCATGATACACTCATTCGATGGAATATTTTAAAATGATAAACGGCTCGTCATCTATCAAGCTGATTCACAAATTCTGAATGAATTAAAAATTGAGCTATATTTAGAGAAGTGTAAAGTGATTTCAGCTTTATTCTGAATCAATTTGTCCAGGAATTTTTTTAAAGGAATTTTGCTGATTTTGTCTAAGTACAATTGATTTGCACAATAAAGCATAGCAAAAAGGAACTGTAAAATGCTTATTAATAGAGTGTACAGTTCTGCAAAATCTTTGCTAAATAATGTATCCTCATTTAAAAAATGTTTTTTTATATAGTTTCTAACAAGATTATGTAAAAATGCTGTCAGTGTTTATCTATCATGATTCAATTTCTTAAAGCTGTTTAACAAAATACTATCAAAGTTTGTTCACTAGCATTAATTCCACTCTGTATAGAATTTGGATTGTTTTCAACAGATGGCAGCCTGATGTGCCGGTCATAAGTACAGACCTTAAAAAATGATACTTAAAAGATTAAAATACTAAAACAACTTTGTTGTTTTATTTTGACTATTTTAGGGGATATAGTTAAATTCACTGATATACTAATGAAACTTAAAATAGATACTAATTGATGTGAAATGGCAGAGATTTTTCTTAAAATTAAACAAAGACCCAGAAGCATCCTTTCAAAACATTCTTGGTTGTATTATTTGCAGTCCTTGAAGGATCTGTAAGCTGGTGTTAAAAAGAAAACTTTTCTCAAGTTTCTTCAAGGTGTGTTTGGGAAAAAAGTATTTTTGTGATTTGATAACTTTCTTAAGCTTCATTAAAACACTAACCTTTAGTATCAATGTGTGAGGGGCGGGGACTATGGCATGGGTCACGTATTCTCAGGCCACAGTGAACATTTGTCAGACCCAGTAGACCGGGACATGATTTGGAAAATACTGTAATATAGGTGAATGCAGTAGACGTTTCCGTTACTTATTTCTTTTAGGCATTAAGGAACACGTAAAAATATATTTGCTTCTCATTGAAACATTTGTTCTTAAAAGGTTAAAAATGTATTTACAACAAGCAATCTACTATTCTAGGGATAGAAGGAGACAATTAAAAATACTATAAGTCAAAGGAAAAATAACTTTAGAAGTTATACCTATAGAATACATTATTATACTTATGGTGAATGTCAACAAGGAGGTGTCTTTCTCTCACAAGAATACTCATCGAAGATAGAAATCAGACATTACACATGAGGGACAATCAAGAGGTCTGACCATGATCAACTCAATACACCCTAAAATTTGACATTTCTTCAAGAAGAATATTTCAATTTGAATTAGATATTAAAATTGCAACTCTAGCCTACAGGAGATGACAGAACATCAACACAATGACACAGAGAAAAGCTAGTGGGTTTTCTTTAGTTGCTGTTTGCTTTTTAATATTTGGAGATTCAAATATTGGGCTCCTACCTCATTTTTCCTCCATACACTCCATGCACAAAATGTAATGTAATGGTGTCCATGATTAATTCATGAGTGAGGGAATGGCATTTAGATGCTGTTTGCTAAATGAAAAACAACAACCACAACCACAAAAGAAGTAGGAAAATCCAATAAAGCCTCAAGATAAAAGTGCACACAGTAAAAGGTAGTGGGGGTGCATCATTGAAACACTCTGTAATCAATGTAACATAGGTTGAGTTGTCCACTGGTACCAACAATTTAATTTGACTTATTTCAAGGAAACATCATTTGGAAAAATTTTTTAAAGTTTGTTTTATTTTTAAGAGAGAGAGAGTAAGTGGGGCAGGGGCAGAGAGAGAGGGGGACAGAGGATCTGAAGCAGGCTCTATGCTGTCAGCACAGAGCCCAGTGTGGGGCTCAAACTCACAACCTGCAAGATCATGACCTGAGCCGAAGGCAGACGCTTAACTGAAACAGACTGAGCCACCCAGGTGCCCAAGGAAACATCATTTTTACTTATATTAACTTTTAAAGCAATACTTTAAAATCACCCTTCTTCTGATATCATAACAAAAGTATGCTTGCATTAAAAAAATTGCTGGTCAAAAAACCATGTAGCAAAATGAGTATATTTATTTAAACTGAATGGGATTTTGCTGAATGCATAAACTTTAAGGGAAAAGAAGCAAAAGCAAAACTCCACAAACTCATCTTCTTAGTAGATATCTGCACATTTTACCGTGTCATTCAAATTTCATTGAAAGCCATGGTTATTTTGAAAAAAAAATAAAGGAAAAATAAAAAAGATTGGTGCAACTCCTTTAGAATGACACCAGTCCATCCTTATAAAGCATCCAGTTCAAAGGCCTATAAAATAAATAGGGTCAACTCACAAGTTACATATCTGTCTGAGTGTCTCTTGCAAGGAAAGAGACATTTATTAGGACTTTGTATTTGTAGTGAGTGAGAGCTTGCAGTCTCCCTACTGTGTTAGTCATTTAAGACATTGATGAAAAGGACAGAAATATGAAAATGAGAGAATGCATTTCAGGCCACTTTGAGACAGAGATAGCATAACAGGAAAACTCTAAGGAAAAGATAGGGATTTTCCTAGAAAAAGCCCTGAATCTTTTTTTTTTTTTAAGATTGGAGAAAGTTAAATGGACTGAGTGAAAAAATAAGCTCACTAGAAAAGTGATATTTGACTTACAGTTTAATGTCTAAAATCTGATAAAATATCATAACTAAGAAGGACCTCAGAGACCTATTAGGGCAGTGATTCTCAGATTTTGGGTGTTTGTCAAAATACATATTCCTAAATCCCATCCCTAGAGACTTATTCATTTAGCATAAACTTGTTGATGCCTACTATCTTCTGGCTCTGGGGATATGGTAGTGACTGAGCCAAAATCATTGCCCTTTTAAATGAATGTTAATACAGGTGGCCCACAAGTCATAATTTGAAAAAATGTATTCTTTTCCAACAATTTTGCTACTAGAATTACCCTTATTTTGATACTAATTTTTCATAGCACCTTTTAACCTTGGGATTCACATGGAATATGTAGAATTTATTTCCCAGAATGAACAAGAAAAACTGGCCAGTGGCTCCCTCTGCAGTCAAGTTAACTGGGTTACTTCCAGCTTCTGTGTCACTTTGGGCAAATTAATTAATCTAAGCCTCAATGTCATCATTTGTAAAATAGGAATTAAAAAGAGTACCTACAGCTTTGGGGTTGATATAAGGATTCAATGAGCTCGTATCTATATTGACTGGTATATGGTAAGCATTCAAGTAAATATAAATTTTTTATTATACATCAGTCAATTCCTGTGGTTGTACAAGTTTTCTTATGAATCCCCCCCCCCCCCCCCCCCCCCCCCCCCCCCGCCGAGTGGATCTGAGTCTAGTAGAATCATGGAACTTCAGAGGTGGGAGGAATCTTATAGGTTGTTGATATGTTATGATGGTGTGTAAATGGTGTTGGTTGGGGGGGAGGGTACGGATTTAAACTGCTGAAGGAACTCATTCATGGCTTTGAACTGTTTTGTCTAACAGAATTCCATGTGCAATTTTAGTAGAAAAAGTCCTGCTGTTAAGAAAAGCTTGAAAACCACTGGCAATCCCAATACCTCATTCTAAAGATGAGAAACTGAGAAGGACAGTGATTCGTCCAATGTCACACAGCAGGAGTTAGTGGTAGAGTTAATGTAGTTACCAGGCTTCTTTGAGAAGAAGATTTAGAAATGAAAATATGTATAATTATTGCCTCAAACACTTTGCAGATTGAGATTGAGTAAAAATACATAAAAACAAAAATAAAGCATCTCTATTCACTCAAAACCATTTGAAAGAAGACATTCTTTCTCTATAGATTAAGTATGTTCCCAAATACCGTACAGTGAATTCTCATTTTGACTGTAAGTGTAGAGAAGAACAGAGCTCTAAAAATAATTAAAAATTTAATTCTTAGGAATTATAAATCCCAACTATGGTAAAATTCAGACTAATTCTTAACAAGCATTTATTTTAAAAATATCAAGAAAATATGGAATTTATTTTAAAAAGAAAAACACACTTTCCATGTTGTCAAAATAAAGCAATATCATTCATACTTTCTATCTTGTTAGACCAGAAACTTTTAAAATCATAAATCTCAGGACATGCTGTTCTGGTTAATGAGGACTCTTTTTTTTTTATTTTAACCTCTGGTATTGAAAATATTACTATATACTTGCACATTTTGTTTAATTTTAGGAATTGATAATGAACCTGACTTAATTTTTTTAAATAGCAGAGACTCTTGCATTGTTTAGGATTATTTTTCCTAATATGAATTCTTATTGTACAGTACTATGGATACAGGTATAACAGGTATAAACTATAAGATTAAAAAAAAAAACCCACCAGAATCTAAATCCCTGATACGAGTTTATTGTGTTATTCTTTGACCTGTTTTCTGAAAGAAGAAGTGATATATTCTCTAGTGAAGTTCTGGTTATTGAAAGTTTAATAATTATGAAGCCAATGACTTTCATTCCATTTCACAAAGACCAGTTAAGGGATCATAAGAGATCTTCAAATTTAGTTCCTGGAAACATTTGAATAATGTTAAGGATTATTGTAATCTATGTTTTAATTTATATTTTTTACAATATCAACAAAATTACTCTGAAAAAACCCTTTGTGCTTAATTATTAATTCACTCTAGAACTATATAAAATAAAATATAAAGAGCAAGACATAAGAACCAGTAATTACACATTTTTAATATGCTTTGTATTAATATTCAATATGTTTTTCTCATGGATTGATTACTTAAAAATGAATTTTTATATTTGTATGCTGGATAATTCTCAATTATCTTACAACTATCTGCTTACTCTCCATTGGTTACAGTGTTTGAAGTTTCCCCATGTTTTATGTGAGCAAAAAGTTTGCATTTTCTATTTTGGCTTCAAAATCAAATTGGATATCTTTACTTAAAATGAGTATATTAATAATTTGTTCAAAAAATCAATATCAGACTATTTGGGGAGCCAACTGAGAGTGTTTGAATGGCAGAAATTCTTTTGAGGTAAAACAGACTCTTGAACATTCGCTCGGTAGCAAGCACTGATTGAGAAGTATAAATATTAATTTAAAAAGTTCCACTATAAACAATTGCCAGTCACAATCTCTTTTTAAAAGTAAGACTTACAAAATTTAATTTGATTCTAAAATTTAAATGGCTAATGATTCTTTGTCAAATTTAAGTGAATGTAAAATAAAGTTTAACAACTAACAGCTTAATAATTACAGTTATTTAACAGTGTAACTTAGAAAAAGAGTTGGTTCATGTTTAAAGTAAGTTCTGTGACTCAGAAGGAATTTTATATTTTCAATTGGTAGAGGAAATTGTGACCCACCCCTGAAGATTTCTCCATTCTGAATCCCCACAGTGTGAGGCCAGACCAAGTAATTACAGTAATTAATCGCACCTTGCAACAATGAAATCATGACATAAATTTTTGATAACTCTGTTTCTGATTCCCTAAGAGTGGCAAGGATTTATAGTTACATATGATGAATCTTAGCCAAAAGGAAATATATTGCACAATAATGTGGATAGAGTTTCATTTATAAGGTTTTTTTTTTCCTTCCCAAATGATATAAATGATGACGATTAAAATTTTCCTCATGGACTTAAATAGGGGACTAAATTTTTTTTTCTGAGATTTTAGTCTTAGTGTTTCGATTCCTGTAGGTAAAGAGAAAGATATGTGACCATTCTCCATGCTAGATGAAAGAGTCTCTGTTCAGGGTAATTGTGCAAAAGCTGTTAACCAGTTCACCTATGGAAAGTCTTGAAATTTTAAAATCACAATTTTGGCTTTAGTCTCATATTATTCAGCACTCTCCACATTTGCTAAACTGTAGAGAGAGGGGGACACAGTTAAGACTTCAACATCTTCTTTACTCTTGGTTAGAATTTCATATACTTAAACTTTAAATATGAATTGCTTTCCCTTTTTACACAAGTTATAAAAATAAGAGGCCCTGTTTACATAGTTTGCATTTTTATGAAATTTGCAGTTTGAAAAAAAAGCTTTTAAAAAGTGGTAATTAATGCTTTTCTTGAATATGCTGTAACTTTAGAATTTTTTTTCTGAAATAGTTTCTGAATTTAAGCCACTAAATATTTGAAGATAGAATTTTTATTTAGCACTAGAATAAAACATACTAAGGATTGAAGAAAAAGAAGGATTTTTTTTCTGGTTCCACTTAATTTTCTTTGTATGTGGCACCCCCTTTATGACAGCTATCAATATTATATTTAAATTTTATATATTGACAAAATGCAATCTACCTCTGTAAGCATTGTGCCATTCAACAGTACTACTATTAAATTTACATACCACAATTGAAATTACACCCATTTCAGGAATGGTAAAATGCTAAAACTCAAGTGTCTAACTGCCTTACTGGAATGAGTACAATTTACAAATACAATAATTACATTTTAAAACCATTAACAATATTACACCTAGAAGTAAATACTGTAAGACTGGTCACCATGGTATTCTGTGAGGGAAATCATTGCTGAAAGTCATTGACATTTCCAGCAGATATATCCCAAGTGCAGATTTTGGTTTGTTTTCATCAAACCAAAATTAAAACCTGTTTCTCATACAACAGTCCTCCATTATATGGATCCTCCAAATCCTTGCATACAATTTTATTAGTTATCTGCCAAGTATTTTCCTGCAAAACAAAACAACATATCAACAGGTTACCTTCCATAATGTGATTATTATATGGGGTCAACATTTTTATTCTTCCTGCCCTACCTGTAGAAGTCAATTACTGCATCTTGAGGAGAGCACTACTAGTAACAAATTTTTTAAGTTTTTGGTTTCCCAGAACAGCAAGTTGTCTTTTCACATTTCCATGTATGAACCCTTTGCAGAGACTTAGGTTTTAGGATAGGCTGGGAGAGATTTGTTCCTGGATATGGGAACCCAACTTGTTACAGGAGTAGCAACCATATAACCTGGGTTATTTTTGAGAATGAAAGGGCTATAACTGATAATTACATAAGTATAGCAAGCATAAAAAAACAGGAGTTATCCCAAAAAGTCATTGATAAGTGTAATCACCCTAGTACTGGGGACTCCTTTGCCAACCAATTATTATAGATGCCAACCAGTTGTCTCATGGCCATTTTCAGCTCATGGAACCATTTCTGATACCTGGCCTAGATTCTCTCAGGTTATTTATATTAAAGTGAAAGATAGATCTTCTCAGATCTAAGCTATGTCTAACAAGTCTAAAACCTATGAAGTCCTGTTGGAGAAAAAGTTTTCAGATAAGAGGTAAATTCAAAAGCAAATAGCATTTATTTTGTTTGTCAATATAAAAAAAATAGGATTTACTCCATTAACCTCAGTATATACATGTATATAATGGAAACGACTGGTCATCCCCACCTAAGAAACAGAGCCAGAGCTATGATAAATAGCCAGGGCCTTTCCAGTTTCTGACTTCCAGTTTATTATCCCATTTTTACCTAATTCTAGAGTTGGTTTGCTTTTTAATTGGGACGATAAATGGGGATTGGGAGTGGGAAAGAGGAAGAGAAAGCAAATGAACAAATCAGACACTATTCCTTCTTAAGAAAGGGTAGCTATGGCAACACTCTTTTTGCAAATGAAACTCACAGGATACCCACTTACCTGCAGCAAACCTTTTCTTGATGAGTGAAAACCGATACCCTGCTCCAACAAGTTCAATGTCACAACCAGAAAGAGTGCTTCCTTCGCTTGTGAATTGCACAACCAATGGGGAAGGTTTGCTGGGGCCTTCAGATAACTGAAATCTTGCCAATAAAGAACCCACCCCTATAAAAAGAGTATCATTACAAGATAACAGTCAACACAACTTGATGGATATAGTTTTGGAAATTGTATTCAAAAGTTAACACACGCAACCTAACTTACTAGACAATAGTATAGGTTTTGGTGACAAAACGGTGGTGAATGAAATTTATTATGAAATATTATGAGGAACTCTTTCTGCACACTGATGAAAGTGTAATTCAGCCAAATGGTACTTCAAAATGTGGGAGCATGCTACTTGGAAGGCAGTGTATTTTCCAAGCTATGATTAATATCAGAGGAAAGTGAGAAATACCTAACTTATCAGGGAGTTAAAATCTGATACAAAATGAAAATGTCTCATGAAAAGCTCTTCTCTGTTTGAAGAATAGTCTGATGTGGGGTTGGACAGAAAAGGAAGTAGAGGATTCAGTGAGGAATTATTTGCTTTTATTGGTTGAAATAAGTATATATCAAAGTGGAGCGAAATATTTTGCTTGTTTTTTAATGCTAAGTGTATTTTGGTTAATAGTTTCTAATACCTGAAAGTTATTTCAGCTTTAAATATTAATTAAAATAAAGCCAATGATGACATTACCTCCGTTTTCTGACTTCTGAGAAATATCAGGAATCTTCCACAATATTCTTTGCTGTTCAGCATTCCTAAAAATAAAATAAGTAAAAGGCTTTTGCAAATGCACAGGTTTTTGTTTAATGGATGCTATATTTTTTCTAGATAGTGCTAACTTAAAAAATGGATCTTGAAAATGTTAACTACAATTTAAACTTATCTGTCTACCTACGTACCTATCTATGCATCCATCCATCCATCCATGCATCCATCTATCCATCCATCTATAATTCTCTCTTTTTTCTGTTCTTTATTATAACTAGCCACAACACTGTCAGAAAGGAAACCATGTAGAGGACAGGCAGTTACATTTTTTGACACATGTACTGAAAACATAGATGAGAACTGTTAACCAATTAATTCAGGTAACTTAAGCCGGAGCTACCATATGGCTGACTTTTTAAAAAATGTACTCCTTTTTGCTTCTAAGAAAAGCAAAAAGAAAAACTAGAGTATTTTTTCTAAGAGAATAAGTTCTTTTTAGCAGCTGCTATTGATACTCAGTATCTATTCAGTATCTGTTCCCATACCTTCTCTAATGATGCCTTTTTATAGTTCAGAGGCTATAAAACAAAACCCTACATTTCTTAGATGCCCCTGCAGTTAGGGTCCTAGATGCATAGTAGGGTCTACCAGTTACATCCACTGCTTGAGATTTGGAGGATGGAAGGGAGGCAGAGGCCATTCTCCTGCCACTCTCTGCTGGCCAGCAACCTAACTGAGATGTGGGGGATCTTCTAACAAAGTGCTCCATGCAGTCCAGGCTCCAGTTCTGTGAGTGTTGAGAAGTAGTTAAGGCAGTGCGGTAGGAACTTTCTTATCCTTGGATCAACATGGCAGTGGTGTGGTCTTGCATTCAGTGGCTCCATTGGGCAGCTACAATATCTCTGCTTCTTGGTTGTGGCTGAACTAGCAGGCAAGTTCTGCAGTGTTCTGGGAAATATTCTTGGAGATCCAGCCTAAAGCTAGTTCCTCTGGCACTTCCACCATTGTGTGAGCATCTGAATCCCTGTGTTAAATCATTTTCTGCCTAAAATAACAGAACGGAATGGTTGCTGTTCCCTGCTCAGAACCCTGACATATAGGCCTACTGTGATCTCCTCCTGTAGGAAACACAAATGCTAAGAACTCTGTGATCCCTTTGCCCAGAAAGAACCCGTTGGTAAAGAAGAAGGAGACTGGGGTCTACTTACCAGACTGCTGGTGGGAGAACGGCCTGGAGCTTGGTTACCCCTCCATCTATGGGGACCAGGAACTGCACATTGTTGAGGGCCACAGCCGTTGTCATTGCATCTGTATTGTATTTGTAATCTATGCGCAGGTCAGTGCTTGCCGGCTCACATCGCCAGTTCACTGCCAGGTTCAGGGGTGTGGACTGAATGCCCTGTGCAGACACCTTGCCAAAAGACAGCAAAGAGAATATTTAAGCTTTGACCATTAGTCTGAAACAAAGCCAGAAGCTCTGATTATCTCTCATGGGAATACTCCTAGCTATAAAATGTCATAATATTGTTGGTGCTGCTCACAAATGAGCTCTCTGTAAATATCACTGTGAAGGATGCCCTGTGAAGAGAGCTGGGTGCTACAGGTAAATTGTTACCAGTTAAAAACAAAAAATCTGCCACTAAAATCTCCATAGCACTTTAGAGCTTACAATGCACTTTAGGTCAGTTAGGAAGGTGGTTAGGAGCTGGTTAGTTGCTGAGGCCAAGGAGTTAGACAGGCTTGGATTGTGTTCTGACTGTTACTTACAAGCTAATCTTGGACCAGTCACCAAAGCTCCCTGAGCCTTAGTTATTTCTTCTTCTGCCAAAGGGGAATTATAATAATAATATCTCCCCCTAGAATTGTCAGGAAGATTGAAAATATTTTATGTGAACAGTCAGCATAGTGACTAGCACTTAGTAAAAGCATTAATGTTTTCATACAGATTATCTGCTGATACTCTTATCATACTTTCTCTTCACAGCACACCAGTGAGTTTGACAAAGCAGATTATTACTACCCCTTTGGGATCTGCCAGAGTGAGCGCTTGAACAAAGATCCTCTAACTAGAATGGGTACATTCTACTGTTTCCTGTCAATTCTGATTAGAATCAATGGTGACTTTGACCCAGGAAAAGCCACATTTGCAGAATCAGCAATATTGTCTTATCTAAAGACAATAATACCAACTTGATTTCTGGGTCCACAGTGAGAAGTTCACAATGTTATTATGCCTCAATTGTTTACTGTGATGATGCTCTAGGAGATGCTTCTTTTACCAGCACATGTATGTACACTGCAGGGGCTGTGTGGGTAATGTCTATGCCCTTGCAGTTCTTTAAACTTTATTTATTTATTTTGAGAGAGAGAGAGAACGAGCATGCATGTGTGAACTGGTGTGGGACAGAGAGAGAAGGAGGCCGAGAATCCCAGGCAGGCTCCATGCTGTCAGTGCAGAGCCTGACATGGGGTTCAGTCTCACTAATAGTGAGATCATGACCTGAGCCTAAATCAAAAGTTGGATGCTAAACTAACTGAGCCACCCAGGCACTCCATGCCCTCGCAGTTTTATTTGTGGAGTATGAGTTTTGGCAATTTAAAAGACTATAAACAGCTCTGTATTGGCCTAGCAATGCCCGCACAGATGGACACCTGGGGAAGGGGCCTGAGGGTAGGTGGAGCTCACAGGGAAACAGTGGTTGCTACAGAAACAAGTCCAGATATGGGTTCTTTTATAATATGACAGACATGGCCTTCCATGACAATTTTAGTTGGATAACCATTATAAGATTTTATACTTGAAATATTTTTAACAGCACAAGCTTCTGCAAATGAACTGTGCTTTGGAAATATGTTACATAAGGTAAAGCAAAAGCAGAGCAGACTGACCCCTCCCCGCCTATTCCTGCCCTGTCTCAGTGGTAGTTCTCGACTTCACAGTGGCTTCTCTACCCAGTGACAGTGCTTTTTGAATTCGTACAGGTGTCTTTTTGATTGGATGTTCCTGGTGGCCAGAAATGAAACATGTGGAGATTTGAGGGCAATCCCCCAAAATGCTTGCTGTGATTCCTACCCAATTCCTTGCATGGTTGGAAAACAGCACAGCCACAACTAAACAACAAACGGGATTCCTCAGAGCTCACTTTAAAACAAAACAGCAGACCTAGGGCTACTTATATGTTACAAATACTTTGAAATATATTAGGCTATTAGATCCTCACAAGAACTTATTAAACATCTAGGTAGGACTGTTATTCAACATAGTGTTGGACGTCCTATCCTCAGCAATCTGACAACACAAAGAAATAAAAGGCATCCAAATCAGCAAGGAGGAAGTCAAACTCTCACTCTTTGCAGATGACACTGTACTTTATGTGGAAAACCCAAAGACTACACCAAAAATCTGCTAGAACTGATGCATGAATTCAGCAAAGTTGCAGGATATAAAATCAATGTACAGAAATTGGTTGCATTTCTATATGCCAGTAATGAAGCAGCAGAAAGAGAAATCAAGGAATTGATCTCACTTACAATTGCACCAAAACCCATAAAATACCTAGGAATAAACCTAACCAAAGAGATGAAAAATCTATACACTGAAAACTATAGAAAGCTTATGAAAGAAAGTGAAGATGCACACACACACACACACACACACACACACACACACACCCAAAAAAAGAAAGAAAAATATTCCATACTCCTGGGTAGGAAAAACAAATATTGTTAAAATGTCTATACTACTCAAAGCAATCTACATATTCAATGCAATCTTTATAAAAATAACACCAGCATTCTTCACAGAGCTAGAACCAACAACCCTAAATTTTGTATGGCATCAGAAAAGACCACAAATAGCCAAGGCAATCTGGAAAAAAAAACAAACCCAAAGCTAGAGGCATCACAGTTCTGGACTACAAGCTATATTACAAAGCTGTCATCATCAAGACAGTATGGGACTGGCACAAAAACAGACATACAGATCAAAGGAACAGAATAGAGAACCCAGAAATGGACCCATACATGTATGGTCAACTATCTTTGACAAAGCAGGAAAGAATATCCAATGGGAAAGAAAGATAGTCTCTTCAGCAAATGGTCTTGGGAAAACTGGTCAGCGACATGCAGAAGAATGAACCTGGACCACTTTCTTACACCATACAGAAAAATAAATTCAAAATGGATGAAAGACCTAAATGTAAGACAGGAAGCCATCAAGATCCAAGAGGAGAAAACAGGCAACAACTTTTTTGACCTCAGCCACAGCAACTTCTTACTTGATATGTCTCCAGAGGCAAGAGAAACAAAAGCGAAAATGAACTACTGGGACCTCATCAAGATAAAAAGTTTCTGCACAGTGAAGGAAACAATCAGCAAAACTAAAAGCCAACCAATAGATTGGGAGAAGATATTTGCAAATGACATATTGGATAAAGGGTTAATATCCATAATCTATAAAGAACTTATCAAACTCAACACCTAAAAAACAATCTAATGAAGAAATGGGCAAAAGACATGAATAGACACTTTTCCAAAGAAGACATCCAGATGACTAATAGACACATGAAAAAATGCTCAACATTACTCATCATCAGGGAAATACAAATCAAAACCACTTGTCAAAATGGCTAAAATTAACAACTTAGGCAACAACAGATGTTGGCGAGGATGCAGAGAAAGAGGAACCCTTTTGCACTACTGGTGGGAATGCGAACTGGTGCAGCCACTCTTGAAAACTCTATAGAGGTTCCTCAAAAAACGAAAATAGAATTACCTTACAACCCAGTAATTACACTACTAGGTATATACCCAAAGGATATAGGAGTGCTGTTTCAAAGGGGCACATGCACCCCAATGAGTGTAGCAGTGCTGTTGACAATAGCCAAAGCATGGAAAGACCCCAAATGTCCATTGATGAATGAATGGATAAAGAGGATGTGGTATATATATGAAACCCTACCATTTGCAACAATGGATGGAACTAGAAGGTATTATGCTAAGTGAAATTAGTCGGTCAGAGAAAGACAAATATCATATGACTTCACTCATATGTGGAATTTAAGATACAAAACAGAGGAACATAAGGGAAGAGAAGCAAAAACAATATAAAAACAAAGACGGGGGAAAACCATAAGAGACTCTTAAATACAGAGAACAAACGGAGGTTTGCTGGAGGGATTTTGGAAGGGGGGATGGGCTAAGTGGGCAAGGGGCATTAAGGAGGACTCTGTTGGAATCAGTACTGGGTGTTACGTGTAAGTGATGAATCACTAAATTCTACTCCTGAGATCATTTTTACACTATATTTTAGCTAACTTGGATGTAAATTAAAATTAAAAAACCCGTCTAGGTAGGAATCATTATTATCCTTATTTGCAGGTGAGGAAACAGAGATTCAGGCAGATTAAGTGCCTAAAATCAATGGCCAGTAGAAAGCTGACTTAATTCCAGAATTCAGTTTCTTGCCTACACTTTAATACTTTACACCCACCTCATGTTGCAGTACGTGAATTTTGTCTGCTTTCTAGGTTCACTTAAAGACAAACAGGATGGAGACTAAAAAAAAAAATCCCACAAGATTTAAAAGTTAAAAAATGTTTTTAATCTGAAGTGAAAATGTAGATGTGGTGTTTGTAATGAACGTCTGGGAAAGACAACAAGTACAATTTTATTTTTACCCTTGTGGGAATAAGAACCATGCATGTGCCTTGAAAGTTAACTTCTCATTCAGAGAAAAATTTCCCTGGAGTTTCCTTTTCTCGCTCCTTTTCATTTCTCTCAGAAGCTTAAAGCAGTCACTAATGTGTTTAAGTGTTTTGGAAATAAAAGGTATATAAAAGGCATTTTAAATTATATTTTGTACAAGTGATGAATTTCTGTGGTATCACATGTTTGTCCTGTTTTATTGATAATGTCCAAAGCTGAGATGATATTATTCTTACAGGACAAACATTACATTCATTTGCATTTTTGTAAAATGTACCATCATATAAATATTTGCCCTTTAGAGTTTTCCTTACAACAATATGAATAAGTGTTTTCCAACACATAGGGTGTATTATCACCACAGTGAACTAGTTTACCAATATTTATCACCTCAATTATTGAAATTTTCTGCAACTTCATTTTTATAGTCTCCAAGTTGCCTTTTAAGTTTCTGTTTTCTTATAAATGATAGCTTTTAAAAGTTAGATTAAAAGGAATGTTATTTTATTTACTTTTATTTAATGTTAGACATGTTAGAAGACACAATTATAATGTGGAAGAGACACTCTGATCATATGAATAGGCTTACCTGATATTTGAGCATGTCCACATTATAATATGTAGCCTGGGGTTTTTGTTCCGACACTTTCTTTAGGTGAGTCATCAAATTTGGCATGTTTACCCAGAATTCCTTGGTATTGGCATCATTTTGAGTATTATCGCTATTTAGTTGAGAAGAAAAAATTGCTGAGTAGCATCTTGTGACAAATATTATCCACTCAAAGAAACATCTTAGCAAAGTGTCATCTGATTTCTAAATTCATCTATGACAATCTATAAAGATCATATTACTAACAGTAGTATGGCTTCAGTACAATTGCAGTTCTGAATGATATTATGTTAATAGATTAATACACATAAGGAAGCATGATTGTATTGCTATGAATTTCAGCGAGTGCCCAGTAATATCAACCAAACTTGATGATAACTGGTTGCTTTAAAGAGTGAATTATTTATTAACCCAAACTCAATAGCCCTTTCTACATGACCACAGTTTCCTCTGAATTAGTCAGTTAATACAATCAAGGAGTTGAGTATATTGATTTTTTTAATTCACTCGAACAGTAGTTTCTCAGAAATTACTGAGTTAAATATTTGGCCAAATGTAAATGCAGTCTTTATCTCCAACTGAGGAGAAAAGGGTGATCCTAAAACTACCATAGTATTTCATCTGAGAGCACATAAATCAAGAAATAGTTGCTGCACCTACAAGATGGTCCTGGAATTTAAATAGTAATAATCATGGTAGTTACTCTAGAGAAGTGTAGTCTTGATGCATTCAGGAATTTGGTATTCTTTTTTTTTTTAAATTTTTTAATGTTTTATTTATTTCTAGGAGAGAGAGAGGGAGAGACAGCGTGAGCAGGGGAGGGTCAGAGAGAGAGGGAGTCACAGACTGAAACAGGCTCCAGGCTCTGAGCTGGCAGTCAGCACAGAGCCCAACGCGGGGCTCGAACCCACGAACCGCGAGATCATGACCTAAGCGAAAGTCGGACGCTTAACCGACTAAGCCACCCAGGCGCCCCCAGGAATTTGGTATTCTTAAGGATTTGTTAGGTTTGCTCAGATGGCTCTCCATACGTCATTCACCCAGTGTATCTTGAAAATGCTTGTCTCAATGATAAGCAGAATCAGTCAAGAATGTGAGTAGCCTCTGTCCACTTTCCACATAGGAAACTGAGGGCCCAAATAATTCAGTAACCTGACATAAAACTCACTTACTGAATGGAAATTAGAGGTTAAGAAGATAGGATGACAGTAATAAAATGATGAAGGCACGTCAAAGGGAAGTTGCTATGATTCAGCCTCCAAAAGTCAAACAAATTAAGAGAATGAGTCGAAAAACATCAGGGCTTTAAAAACGCTGCTGATCTGTTTGAAGGGAGTGGCTGTGGGGACCAAGTCTCAGCATGACCCATGTGTCTTCTGCTGGGCGCTGATATAGGTTGTAGAGGACAAAACAAAGCTCTACAACTCCGAGCATGTAGGATGTGGAAGGAAAAGATTCCTGGCCCCTGAGACACTGTCCCTGGTTAAACTGAACTAAGGATGCTGATGAGGTCTGTCTAAACTTCTATTACCTAATAGCATCCAAGTTATCCAGAGGCTGGAGATAAGAGTGATTGAGAGTCAGTGAAATTAAATAATTTGCTTATGGGTAGCAGCTAATAAGTAACAGAGTCAGGATTCCAACCCAGGTCAGTATACTACAGGTTATACTTTCCCAGTGTATCAAAACAGACATACAGAATGAGTATCCAGCAACATGTCACTAATTTGGTACTAAGTAGATCTGAATAGTTGGGAAATTTTCAATGACAATATTCTAAGTTTAATAACAAAGTAAGCTAACTCATATATCTATGATAATTCCTCAGAAAACTTGCTTTAATAAGTATTCAAGAAAGCTTTGCCAATCAAGTAGAGATGCCAGCTACATGGAGAAGTGATTCTTGAATGCTCAAGAAGTCTTGAGAATTCTTTAGTCTCATGATTGGCTTCACAACTGTTCCTGAATATTCTTTACAAGCAAACCCCTTCCATAATGGAAAAATAGAAGTAAACTTCAATTTGGTCCCTGTTGAGGGGTTGCAAACCCAAAGGTCTTCAGGTGTCAAGCTGCCAACCTAAATGAAGTAATTCAGAACACAAAATGCGAGAACTGGCTGGTCTAAGGCAATAGATGTTAAAAAGCTTGTACTGCGATCGAGAATAATACTTGCTTATGCTGCCTTTTAAAAACTAGGGTGGGTAGTAGTGATGTTAGAGCGGTCCTACATAACAAACCCACATAGGCTACACGGCCTTGGGTTACCAATCACAGCCCTGACACAATAATCAAATATTTAGAGTTTATAAGGTCTAAATTAATGAGTATTTTTCATTTTTGCTTTAGCAAATAATAATAGTAATGTAAGGGTCTATGTAATATTTTGTCAGGCAAAAACATACTCAGAGTGTTAATTCAATTCATAGGACTGCAATATTAATATAAGTATAAAACTCATGCATATATGTTTAAAAACTTGGCCACATAAGAGTCTAAAGATGCAACAAAAACTGTAACACTCACACTCGTCTTATTAACAAACCAGTGAGATGATGGCTCATAACTCCTAAATTCAGATGGAGGAACCTTGGAAAATAAAATTAACTGGCTCAATGTGACCATCAAAAACAAGGAGGGAAAGTGAAATAAGAAGCTGCTGATTTCCAGTCTTGATTGTTTTACATTTATTTTTTATTTAATGCATGACCGTGTATTCCCACACTTTTAAACCTGGAATCAAGTTTGCCAGTTAAACCATCACGAGGACCAAAGAGGGGGAGGTGATCTTGGTAGTCACCTGACAGACCTGTGACTGTTTTGTCACCACTGGAGTGAACAAGTCTGACTCAGTGAAAAAAGCAACTATGTTGGTCCTTGAATTCTTAATACTGACAACCTTTAGCTATTTCTACATAAACACCCAGGTTGACTAAATTCTTTAAGTGGTATTTGAGTTGTTCATTCATTGAACAAATGTTAGTTAAGTCCTCACTAGATGCCAGGTGTAGTGGAAGGTACTGAGGATGTAGTGCTGAACTAAGAGATATGTTCCATTCTCTCGTGGATTTTACAGTCTAATGGGGGGGGGTGGATGAAAGAAGAAACACAGATAGATAATTATTAATTATAGCAAGAGTAGCAATGGGAAAGAATAAGGTACCTTGAGAGGGATTAACAAGAGAGCATATTTAGTTTAAGAACGGGGGTTGGGGTTGGAAGAGGAGTGGAATGGTCAGGGGTAGACCAAGCAGAGCTGAAATCTGGAGAGTGGGGCAGGGTTAGGTGAAGAGAGACAGAAATAGTATAGGAGGTGGAGGTAACAAGCACACAAATCCCAGCCTGCTCTTAAGACTGGCAAGCCTGGCTGGAGCTACAAGGATTCTGAGGCAGGACAGTGGGAAATGATAACAGAGAGGCAGGCAAGGGCAGATGACTCAAGGTCTCAAAGGCAGCGGTAATTATTTGCATTCACGTACAGATGCAATGCAAAGCCGCTTGAGAATTATATGTGAGGATGACTTGATTCACCACATGAGAAGTCATTCAGCTGTTGTGTAAAAAACGCAGGAAGGGGGCAAGCTTGGATGCAGGAAAAGAAGGGAAAAAGCATTTTCAGTGGTCCAGGAAAATGACAGTGGTCACTTGGATAGGGCAGGTCACAGTAAAGAAAAAAAAATGGCCACTTTAGAGAGAGATTTTTAAGGAAAATATCAGGACTTAATGATAAGAGGCTGTCAAGAATGACATTTTTTAAATCTCATTCATTGCCAATAATTATCTCATATAGTTGATCATTTTTAATAGCTCCATACAAATGTATGTTTGTGTGAATCCACATGCCTGTAGGTATGATATGTCCATGCTCAGATTTAACAGTTAGAACATGTAACTATATTTATATAAACAAATTCACATAAGCTTCTATGAATGCATATAAAGTTCCATTAAAACAATTACCATTACTGCAAAATTATATATTCTACAAAAAAGACTTTTTAGCTCATGTGAAGACTAGCTCACAGTTCAAATATCATTTGACTTTTAAAGATGCTAATACAACAAGTGGATTTTATTCCTTTAATTGGGCTTATTTCCCACTATCCTCATCCATTGTTTATTGATGGTAAGTAAAGAGACAATGCATAACCAACTGTCACTAATACAGATTTTATTACTCTAAATGTCTCTTCAGCCCCTTGAGATAGTTGCCCATTAGAATACACATAAGCATAGACACATGATCACACACAAAAGATTTTGACAGGTAGCAAACTTCTGTGTTGAATCTACAAACGTATCTGAATAGCGGTAATTTCTCTACCATGCTAAATTCTTGCTACGATATATCCTTCATCTAAGTATCCAGTGCTAAGCTACACACGTCTCTAAAAAAATTATGCAAAATATATTTACCAGCAGAGAAGTTGGGGATTTGGCAGGACGTGTTCTAACCTGCTGAAATTTATCACCCGAAAAGTCAGAGCAGCTGGCGATGGATTGTTGGCAAAGTGTCTGGTGATGCCGGCAGGAAAAGACAACACCATCTCTCCAGTAATCTTCACGATACATCTGGCATATCAAAACACATGAGAGGAAAGAGAGAGGAAGTCCAGGTCAATAAGCTGTGAATCAAAACAGTTGCAAAAAAGAAGTGATTTATGCAACAATGTTACAATAGCAGGAGAAACAAAAGGTAAGCTCTTAAACAATTCCACCGTCAACTACTAAATCATTTCTAAGACCTGAGAATGCAAGGTTTGTGTTAACACTTAACCAAAAAAGTCGCTATTTGTTGAACGTGTTTTTGAACTGTAAGAAGAAAAAATGCAGCTTTTTTCCTTCTGTAGAAACTTCTGTCTGTTCACCTCACAAACAGATCACCTATTCTGGTGGTTCTTTTTGTCTTTGATTTCTGAATCTTTGGTAACGCATTTGAAGATAATAAATCAAGTGCACGACATTATCACACTATTGACTGGGACTTATTTTAGTTCTCAGTAACATGATTGATGTCTTGAACACATTCTTTTCTGTACTGAAGAGGTAAACTTCTGGCATCCATTGAACTATATCTTTATTCCATGTCTATTTGGTTGAAACTGTAAAAATCAGTCATACAAGTAAGGACAATTAGATAATAATTTGAAAGGAAGAATAATTGTTTTTTTTTTTTAAAGAACTTTGTTGAGGCATAATTGACATACAATAAATGGCACTCATTTGTAGTGTAAAATTCCATAATTTTTAATACATTTTACACCTGTGAAGTCCTCACACAATCAAGTTAATGAACATACCCAGTACCCCTCGAAATTGCCTCACGCATTTCTGTGATCTCTCTGCTACCTTTCCTCTTATCCCTAAGCAATTGCGAACATAGCTGACAATACATATTAGATTGCACATTCTAGAATTTCGTGTAAACAGAATCATAAAGTATGTGATGTTTTTTCATTTGGCTTCTTCCACTCTGTAATTATTTTGAGATTCATCTATGTAGGGTGTGCATCAATAGTTCGTGACTTTTTATCACTGTGTAGCATATGGCTATCCACAGTTTTTTTTTAATCCATTAATTTGTTGAAAAATATTTGGACTCTTTCCAGTTTTTAAGTCTTACAAATAAAGCTGTGATGAATGTAATTGTACAAGTCTTTGTATGGACAATATGCTCTCATTTCTCTTGCAAAATGAAGGAGGGGAATCACTGGATCATACAGAAATCAAGTAGCATTAATTCACCAACTTTGTTCTTTTTCAAAATTGATTTGGCTTCTGTCAGCTCTTTGCATTTCAATATGAAATTTAAAATCGTGGTGTCAATTTCTATATAAAATCAATGTAGTCCCAATTCACCCTTTATTGCCTGCACTGAGAAAATTATTGGGCCCTTTGTATAGACTTTTTCTTTGCCAGCAGGCACTGTGTTTAATTTTGTCAGTAGAGGGCGCTAAAAGAACATTGCAGGAAACAGATTTTTCCTCCCTGGTTCCGGGGTACTTGGTAGGCAGGCTCGGGCAGTACTTAGGGTATATCTAGTGCCAGCCTCTGCACAAAGGCTTGTGTGTGACCTCTGCAGAGCATATGGCATCCCCACTGTGTGGGTATGGCAGCCCATGTGGCTTTGATAGTGCCTGGTGGTACAGGCAGCTTCCCTAGTATCTGGCCCCTGTAGTGCATGTGTCTGGGCTACCCCAGTACCCAGATCTTGCAATGCAATGCAGGCAGGTTCTCTGGCTCCAGGCTCCTGTCATGTGCACACCTTCTCTACAGCCGGCTTCTGCAGTGCACGGTGGAAGCTTCCCCTGTCACCCCCTAAGGCAGTTTGTAGTGGTGTATGCCTCAGTGAGACAACTCCTCATAAACAGCTGGGAGTCTGCTGGACTTCCACCATGTCATGTCTGAAAACCCTTAAGGAAGAAGGCTTGGGCATTCATATGGCACACCTCACCCCTCGGGGTTATTGTCCTTTACCTGAGATCCAATGTCTGGCAAATCATTGTTTATATGATTGTCCACTTTCAAGGTATTTTCAAGTAGAGATCAATCGATCCCTGTTACTACACTTCAGCCAGAAGCAGAAACCTCAAAAGGATTATTCTTCTTTGGGAAACAGTAAATATTTAAAATGAGTGAACTTCTTTACGACTTCCTCTACATCTGGATAACTTACCCTTGTACTAGTTCTGTAACTTTAAGTTCAGGACTGTACTTTCTAGGGAAATTGAGGTTAACACATGGAAACTCTGCTCAACGTCTGAGCATAGGGAACTCCATTTGCCCCATAGTCATTTTGTAGGCTGTGTAACTGTGAAAAATGAGATACATGTGGCTCAGAGGAGATGGTTCGTGGTATGTATTTAAAATAGCTCATGGGAAGAACAGCTAAAGCCTCCTATGTATAAGCCTAGTTTGAGGTCAAGGGTGGAGGGCAGGTAAGCTTCCTAAGGTAGCCATGTTCCCCTCCCTCTCCCCTCATTCAGATATTGTCATCCATAACTCTGCACTGCTCTGGATGAAAATTTAGCTTTCTAGAAGTTTGAACTTTCATCTCTTCCGGAGAGTACTGCCGATCACCCAGTGTGGATGCCAATTCTGCTGTCTTCTGTATTTCAGATACATAAACCTTGCATTATTTACTGGGACTGAGCCCTGACTTTCCCTTAAGCCTAGTCTATTTTTGATGCTTTTCAACATGTGGATGTGCAGGATATTACTTCACAACTTTAGAAGAAAACAATAATTAGTCAGAGCACTTGTTAAATCAGACTTCAGCACCTACCATCCCTCAGTACATTGCTGTCAGCATAGCGGCTGAATTTAATTGGTAAGGAATCTGCTCAGTGACTTTTCCAGGTTGCTCAAAATGAGGTCTAAGTGATGTCTCGGTGAGGGATAAAGTTTCTCTTTTGAAAGCCGGTCAGCGAGGGGAGGCAGTGGCGTTATTTAGTCAATAAAACATTTATTGACTCCTAATCATGTAATGTTTATTTGTTTGTTTGTTTTGAGGGGGGAGGCCATTTGAAACTCAGCAAAACAGCCTCTGTCTTCCAAGGGCTCATAGTGTTGGATGGCTGATGAAAGAAGTCGTCAGTGTAAAGCAGTATAAGAAGCACCAAGCTTCTTCATGTATATTGAATTTCTGTACTGCATGTCTACTGTCACATCCAGATTTATAATTTATTTGCTGATTAAGTTGTCCAGTCAGAACTTAACTGACTTATTAATTCATCCAGTATCTACGATCTGAAATTTTGTATACAAAATGAGTGTTTTCAACCCATACTCACTAAAGGAAAATATTTGTTTAACCTTAGTGATTTTTCCTATCAGTATGCAATGCGGCGACATTTCATGTGAGCTTGAATTATGGAAATCTAAAATACTGCGATATGGAAATAGTAACAAACTCACGTTATGAATAAAATTTGAAATTATGTGAGTCCCCACAAATGAAACATTTGTCAAAAATGACAAAATTTCAAGGTTACCTGGCTAAGTAACTTTAAACTGGGTTCTTCCTATTGCCACGGGCAGTACCACGTTAGCCATTGAACAGAAATGCTGGGCAATTTTGGTTAGGAAATGTGTGAACTTGATATGTGAGGTCATCAGAAGCACATGGCTCACATAAACATGACTTTCATGCACTGCTTTGATAACCAAGCCCGTAGTCTCCTCTGCACATGTGCAGCTTCTTGCCCTTTACTTATAAACTCCTTTCATTGGCTTGGGTACTAGGCAAATTCCTTTTCATGTTTCAAGACTCAGTTCAAAGGCAGACCTTTCTGAAGCCTTCCTTAATTTTTTTTTTTTTTTAAATCGGCCTTCCTTAGTTTTTCCTTTATAGGTTCCTTAGGTAAATGTACAGATGTTTTTTAAACTGTTTTGTAGTTTCTTTGCATGTATCTTACCTACAATTATAAAGACAAGTGCTGTCTTGGGTTCTAGGGAGGCAAATTACACAGAATCTAGTGCAGAGTAGGAACTCAATAAAATGTTAAAATAAATTCATACATTTAATGTTATACATTATATATAGAGTGCCTATACAATGTACTAGCTATTATATAGTGCCCTAGAATGGGCAGTGAGAAACAGGACAAATGTCCTCACCCAAACTTCCAGTTTAAGTGGGAAGACAGATGCTTGAATAAATAATTGAAATATGATGATAAGAGAAGGAGAGAACATAGCACAGACACATATTTATTTCCAGGGGATTAAAGAATTAACCCGTTTGTGTCTAGGTTGTTCAAATAGTAGTGAATAATGGGAGATGTATTTCCGTAGCCAACAGCAGAAATCAAGGAATTCTCTTCCTAAAAGCAACTGAGAAGGACTCAGGTGTCAAAATGCCTATTACAAGTGTTCTGAATACTCAGAGAAAGATTATAACTATCCTAGAATGGATCATATATCATACTATATAATAATTAAGCTGGTAAATTTCTGTTTCCAATGTATGGTTTGAAAGCAAATGGGAAGGCTTTGGGTCCAGGATGAGAAGGAACCACAGGCAAAAGCAAGTCCACACGCCTTTTCTGTATCATTTCTTTATGTGCTGCTGTGTTTGACTTTATCCTCTTTCCCCTGCTCACCACATGATAGAATTTTTGAACTTGGGTTGTTTCCTTTAAAGTGAATAACAAAGGAACAGCAATTAAAATGATTCACTGACTGGAGGTGAAATTAAATTTAGAAGAATGTCACTTCATGATCTGTTCATAAATTTCAGATCTCATAATTTCAATGAAATTATTGACTCTCTCATCTACCAATATACAATATATATGGCAACTACTTATGGCAATATAATTGAAAACAGACTCAGTATATGCAGTCATCTACACGTCCAACGCATAGTTAATTTGGAAGGGCATAAGAAAAACACTAATATTAATTTGGCTCAAGCACCACATCGCTAGAATGCCAAGGTCATGGTTACCAGCGTCACAGGTGCACACCTGCCCTTATACCTGCTCTAGTGTGTGGGCAAACTGAAACAGGATGGAGAACCCAGCTGGAATAGTCACAGACCTACAAAGTGGCTGGTAGGTTGCTATACCACTCCTTGGGACTTAACGAAGATTATTATTAAAAGCTTCTTAGCTCCCTTTGCACCATAACTACCCTTCTTCTACCGTGGACTTTGTATTATATTTATGCACAAGTCTTACTTTCCATATCAACTGTCTTCATCACCAATATAACCCCTGTCTAGAACAATTGCAGGCACATAGCAGCCATTCTGTAATTATTAGGGGAGTAATTCAACTCAACTTATTCAGCAATGGTGCCAGGTCCTGCTTTAGGTGCTGAGGATATAAGAATGAAGAAAATGCTCAAAGTCCGAGTTATCATGGAGTTTACATTCTGTTGGGGGAAGAGCCAGACAGTGGACACTGAAAACATGCAGCATGTTAATTAGAGAGAAGGGCAATGGGGGGTGGGGGAGAAAGTGCTGACAGTGGGTAGGAAGGAATGTTGCTATTTGCATAAGGTGGACAGGGAAAGTCTCTGATAAATCTGCTGAAGAATCCTGAAAGAGGTGAGGGGCAATCGCCCAGGTAGCTGGAGAAGATTTCACCCAGGCTGGAGGGGCAACAAATGTTAAGACTCTTAGACACAGAAGAGGTTGGCCAAATGGCAGAGGAACAGCCATGAAGCCAATGTGGGTAAAGTGGAGTGAATAAGGACACCAGAGATGCAGACAAGATCAGAGAGGTGGCAGCTGAAACAGGGGAAGGGTCACAAAGGACAGATAATGTAGAGTCCCATAGACTGTCGTAAAGCATTAGGGTTTTACTTTAAACAAGATAGGAGGATTTTGAGAAGAGGAGTGATACTTTGAGAATACATTTTAGAGGGCAAAGTTCTCCTACTACCAATTAGGTCTCTGAATAAATTAATGAATGAAATCCAATGAGTAAGCAGACAAAAAAAGAACTCATTCTTGGGTGATTCCCAGTGTTTTTCATGCTGGTATAGACATCTCCCCACCCTCGACTACTTTTTATTCTTTCTTATTCTTTTAAAGGTGTGTTTTTCTTGCTTTTCTCAATTCTGATGAGCCTGAGCTTTCTAAGGTATAGGTAGGTCAGTCAATAAGTATAATCCTTAGAACTGGTATTACAGAAAGTTATACAAATTGTTCAAAGAAGAGTCTACAGAAATACAAGTATGCGTATATGAGGTATGTATACAACTTAAGCACATGGTGCTTAAGTGCTCTAACAGTTCAAATGCATACTCTGTAAGAGGTAGTTTTTAATTCCTATTGATATGTGGATGTGGTAAATTACCATCCTGCTTTGAAGATGAGAGAAAGGAGACAGGCGAGAAACCAGGGTGCTACAGGCTGAATGTTTGTGTCCTTCCAAAATGTATATGCTGAAATCTAATCTCCAATATGATGGTGCTTGTTGGGAGGTGATTAGGTCATGAGGGTAGGGCCCTCCTAAATGAGATCAGTGCCTTTATTAAAGCGACCCTGAAGAGCTCCCTAGCTCCCCCCTCCCCATTTGAGGTTACTATGAACCAGGACGCTGGCTCTGGTCAGATATTGAATCTGTTAGAGCCTTGATCTTAGACTTCCCAGCTCCGAGAACCATGAGAAGTAAGCTGCTGTGGTTCAAAAGCCGCCCAGTCTACGGTATTCTGTTATAGCATCCCAAATGGACTAAAACACCAGAGTCCTTTGTGTTTGTTTCTCTACAATAGTCTGGGCCTAGAATAAATTCTAAATGTTGTTAAAAAGGACATAACGTTTAGGGAAGTTGATAGATACTGCTGCCTAGATAGAACACCTAAGGTGGAGTTACTAATCATGTCGCCCAGCATCATATTGTTAGATTCAGGCTAAAAAACAAAAACTAGTGTTTCTGAAGTGTAAAGAAGATTCACAATTAGTCATATAAATTCCCACTTAAAATATATGTGGAGATCCAAGTTTTAATTATATTTAATTATCACTGCTTCAAAGATTTTCATAAATAGTCCAGGGTTCTGTGTGAACATTTATTATTTTTCTAATTCCTATTTCCATGGATACTAAGGATTCCTAAGCCCTGGTCCTTATACATAAAAAATAAAAAGCAATTCTTTCCTCACTTAGGTTTGGCCTTTGTTTATCCATCACATTCAGATCTGGAATTGAATTAGTGATACACTTGAAAGCCAGTTTGACTTTGGTGTTTTGTTTTCAGTAGACTAATAATCACTCTTAATTTTTTTTTATCATAAATCTCTTTGTGAAATTGATGGACGTTGTAGACCTCTCTATAGACAAATGCACTTATGCACACACATAAGATAAATGGTGTAATTGCAGAGAATCGATAAACTTCCTGAACTCTATCTATGGAACTCCTTATAGAAAGGTAAAATATTTAATCATATTATATATGCATTCAGGACAAGTGCACCTTCAGTATGTACTGAAATAAGTGAAATCGGGCTATGTAAATACAGAGTGGTGCATATTTCTCTAGAGTTTACTTTGCCATAATTATCATGTTTTGGCTAGTTTTTCCTTAGTTAGTAAGGGTAACATATAACCTGTCCTCTTACTAATCTCTGTGTTATGAACACAGCTATGTGTTTTGTCCCAGGTTCTCATTCCAATGCACCATGTTTCAGCTTATATGTGAATGATTCAGATCCATTAAAAACTATGACAATAGAGACATGGTCTAGACACTTACTTTTGTGAGATAGCAAATGTTTTCTACAGAGTTGTGTTAGAATTGTCTACAACTTGTATTCAAAACTGAACCAGAGATTTCTGGATAGTAAGATAATAAATTATTGGTCCTTTAGCACGTTTTTTAAAAAAGCAGTGAATTAATATTTCTAATTAAATGTCCTCCTCCATTCTAGGATTTTTTTTTCTTGGTTTTAGGATAAGGAATGAAATAGTTATATTTAGGGTGTCTCCCGCTGAGTGGGATAGAGTTTGGAGAATCCAGTGGACCAAGTCCCAGGCTTACTTGCTTGGATCTGCTCCTTTGAAGTAGGCATTGACTGTTTCTGTAAATGCTGCTGCAACAGGGAGGGTGTCCTGGGCTCCCATGGTCAGGGGGCTGGGTCCCCTGGAAGAACCTGCACGAAATGAAAAACTTTCGTTTAATATGGACATAGGGGACATATTAGTATGCGTGGAACTAAAAGCCCACTAAAGGATAAAAGGATGCAATCTACTACTGAAAAAATGTAAAGTGCTAAGAACTACGTGTGTATATTCAACAGAGAGCTCAAGTATTTAAAAGGAAATATTTGGCTGGTTTACAAACACACACACTTGAAATTAATTCAGTTACATATTTTTCTACAGAAAAAATCCAAGCAGAAGAATAAGTCATAGGGGGGTTTCAGTGTTTTAAATAAAGCGTAAGGCAGTATTTGAATGACAGTTTGTACAGCAGGTAGTTAGTAAGGAAAACTTACTAGCTTATATGAACATTTACCTTATACAAATGCCTACACACTCAAAACTTGTGTTTCTTTACTTTAAAGAGACAAACGGCCATGGGGTACCATGTCACACATTGTCCTTTTCTGGATTATTTCTGTTTTGAAAAGCCCAACTGACTGAAGATCAAGTAGGCTCAAGTTTACATGTCCAAAAACATACACACCATAAGGTACACCTTGACTTAGCACAGACACACCAATGCATCATTCGCACTATAAGCAGTCCCAGTGGCGCTCATGTTTATTGAGGACCTGCTATCTACCGTGCGCTGCACTAGATACCTTACATGAATTACCTCATTCCAACCCCATAGCAGCCCTTTAGGGTAACCCTTATTATTTCCATTCTGCAGAAGAGAAAACGAAAGCTCAAAGAGAGAAGGATACCTTCTCGCCCAAGGTAACAGTTAGGTGACAAAACTAAAATTCAAATCCAGATTGGCTGCCCTATAAAGCTCACATTTTCCCTCATTATACCATATAGTTTATCTAAATGAAGCATTTTCTTTTATGATTTTTATAGAACTTGAGGTTTCTGAAAAGAGCAACATTTAAGATTGTTGTCTTTGATGTTAATCTCTAGGCATGGTACTGAACAGTAAAGGTTTCGTAATGACAAAGTATTTAATTGTGTTGGCGGTCATTGCTTCTTCCTATCAAACAAAACACATTTACTCTTCCCACCCTGAAGCAGACTACATACTATGTCTTTTTTCTTTTACCTTCAGTAATTTCTGTAATCTTCTCTGGCTATTTAAAAACCCACCCTTTGGGGCTTCTGGTTGAAGGTTGGACTTCGGCTCAGGTCATGATCTCACAGTTCCTGAGTTCAAGACCCACATTGCACTGACTGCTGTCAGTGCACAGCCCATTTTGGATCCTCTGTACCCATCTCTCTCTGCCCCATCTCCTCTCATGCTCTCTCTTAAAAATAAATAAACATTAATGAAAACTACCCTTTGTGTATCTTCCTCCTCAATAAAGTTTTCTCTGGTAAATCTCATTCATGCAAGTCTCTTCTTTTGCTATCTTCCCTTGGTTTTCAACATCTTGGACTCGCTAATTGATCAACAAACGTGAGCTTACTATCTACTGTGAATAAAACACTATGGTAGGTTCTGGAGATTCAAAGTCAAATTACACATTATCCCTGTCCTCAAGGAGTTACCATTCAGTTTGCTAATATTATAATCAACAACATCCACTACCAGCATTACCTCCATCACCATTATTTGTTGCATATTTACTATATGTTTTACATATACTCTCTAGGTAAATGAAGGAAGCAAGTGGAAAGGACAGGGAAGATTTCATTGAAAAAGTGATGTTGGAACTGAAGTTTGACAGTGAATAAGACCTCATGAGGGGGAGAAGGAAGAAGGGCTAGCATACACATATGTGTGGAACTGAGCAAACATGGCATTTTGAGAAACCACAGGAAGTATGGCACTGTTTGCATGTGAATGGGTGTGAATGTGGTGGGACAAGCAAGAAAATGAGGTTTGGGCAGAGGTTAGAAATTAGGTCATGAAAAGTTCCGTTTATTTCAGAAAAATTGTTTATTATATAGGTGATTTATAAGCATTAAAATCATAATTACCTTTTGATAATTGAATACAAATCCATGGATGCTTTTCAAAGCAGAGTGCACCCATATACAGCATTCATATAATTTGAAATTGTCCTTGGGAGTCCTGAAACAGATGTTAAGAACACTATCTCTAGAAGATGGGAGGCCTCTGAAGTATTTGAAATAATGGGGGGTGGTTATGATGGGGCTTGAGTTTCCATTGCTCTAGTGATAGAGTGGCAGATAATTCAGGGACAGAGACAATATGTAGGTGAAGATACCTCTTAGAAAGAAAAAGATAAAATTGACAAGAAATGCAGATGTTAGCAGATAAAGGGAATGTCATAGACATAATGTTCTTCAATCTTGCAGGGTATTTAATAGTTTCCCATGCTATTTGTGTGAATAAAATTGTGAAGGTTGGGTAGATAATAGGCTTGCCAAGTGAACTGGGTAGTAGATGAATCACAATACCCGGTGAGCATGAATCAGTGGTTTTACACCTGTTGCAAAGGAAGTCTCTAGTGGAATATCCTAGAGTTCTCTCCTTAGTCTGGGCTCTTTAGTGCCGCTGATAAAGCTGGGAGAGATGCTCAGAAATGACACACTGTAGTGCCTAAGAGCACGAGATTTGGCATTAGACATACTTGTGATTGAGTATTATTTCTAACATCTGTTATGTATACGACCTTTGGCAGGGATAGTATAATGACACCCACTCTGTAAGCCCATCAGAGGATAAAATGAGGTAAAACATTTAACACAGTGCTTGGTACACAGTAAGCACTCAATAATGATTAGCAATTATTATGATTACTATTACAATTTAAGATAATGCAGAGGTTATCTTAAATAATGACAGAGTCATTGAAGGTGCTAAAAATGATCTTTTGGAATACCGGGCTGAAACTGAGATGAAAACCCTCAGCAAAAGCAAATGTGGAATTCTTATATGCCAAGGTTAAAATTAATTAAACAATTACAGCTTGTGGAAAGAACATGTGAAAAAAATATTTTTTCATTTTTTTTTTGGAATTGATCATCAATTGTCTATTGCTGGCTGGGCTCTGAACGTGTCGCCGATTGGACTACATCAGTGGGTGAGTAACATATGGATCCCTCGAAATGATGGCTTCAATGCTTTTTGTTTTGCATGCCTTGTTTTAAAACTCACCAGATGATAATCAGGTCACTTACTCACAAGCTGAAGACCAAGCTCTTCAGCCTAATGGTGTACAACACCACCTGCAGTGCTATGGTCTGGATGTTTGTGTCCTCCTAAAATCGTATGTTGAAAATCTAGTGCACAACATGATGGTATTAGGAAGTGGGCCTCTGGCAGGTACTACAGCCATGAGGGTGGAACACTAATGACTGGGATTCATGCTCTTACAAAAGAGGCCCCAGAGAGCTAGCTTCTCCCTTCCACCACATGAGGACACAGTAAGTCTGGCAATCTGCACCCTGAAAGAGGGCTTTCTTGAGGACCCAGCCACTGACACCATGATCTTGAATTTATAAATTTCCAGAACTTTGAGAAATAAATGTATGCCTTTTATAAGCCACCTGGCTGTGATAATTTGTTACAGCAGTCAAAATGTACTTAGACATGTGGTCTGACTCACACCTACCTTCATGGCCCACCACTCCCATTCCCTCCAGAAATCCTATATTCAAACTATGTTTTACCGATGGACACTATAGCCCTTATTTAGATTTAATGTATAATGCCAGGAGAGAAGAAAACATCAAAACTTTACAAAGAACCCTTTAACTCAAAGGATCCATGGTTTACAATTCTAGGTTCTTCGCATCTTGATGCATTGCAGTCAATATGCCATTTTTTAGCGTTACTTTTCCATTTATTGCATAATTTTCCTTATTGCTATCTGGTCTCCATACCACTTTTGACAAATCTGTATTATTCTACAGTCTCCAAATGTTGGGCCACTTCTAGGTAGCAGTTATTCTAAATCCATCTTTGTGTAAATTGGTTTTCTTTTCCTTTTTAATTATTTCTATAAGGTATATAAGTTTTATTACCATAAGCTGGATGACCAAACCATAAGGCAGATAAATGTTTTATTCCTAAGAATGTCAGATTATTGCACATAAAGTTTATACTCAATGAAAATGCTATTAATAAAGAACAAAAGCTTCTGTTCCCCTTTAGAACCTGTGAGAGTATCTGCTAATACGATTATTAGAAAACTAGACTAAAACCAGGAGAATCTAAGATGGTGGGAAACTTAAGCCTCATGGCTTGAGAGGACTGACAGAAGCCTAGAAACTATTTTCAAAGATCTTCTACAGTATAACCGGACAGTGACTCGAGGGACCAGAGTTCATGGCTGTGGCTCTACAACTTAACAGCTTTGTGACCTTGGGCTAGTCACTTTACTTTTGGACCAAAGAGTCTCTGTTTTAGGGTTCTGTGATTTTAAGTTGTTTATAGGCACTTAAGGTTTTTTAAACTGTAGGAACAATTTTCTAACACAAAGATAAGCTTCTTTGAAAACAGTCTCCCTTCATTGAAGGTTTGAGGATCTGTCAAACATTTACTGAGCCTCCACTGTGTGCAAGAGAGTGGTGGGAACACAAATATGAAAACTTTCAGGAAATAAGATAAACATTTGGAAAATCGAATCACAGTAACATATGCAAGCGAGACCTTAACAGTTCAGGTGACAGCACTATGAGATTATTTCACTGTGAAATTAATTGCTAAGTGAGCAATACAAGGAGGCTGTTCTGTGATTTAAAAAAAGGAAACTTCAGCTCTGGAGTCATGTCGACTTGGGTGTGAATCCTTGTTGCTCCACTTGCAGTCTGTATGAGTAGGGGCAAGCTATTTAATCTGTGACTCTGTTTCTCCTCCTTAAAATAGAACAGATAATAATAATATCTATGTTTAAAGTCTTGTGGTGAACATCAAATGTAATAATACTTGTCAAGCACTTAGCATAGTGTGTACTTGAAAAACATGCATTGCTATTCTTTTTGTTGCTGTTATTTTGTCTGGGTGCTCTTTCCAAGGTTGTTGAATTGGAGTTGGTTC